CGGACAGTCAGTAGTTCGGCGGACAGTCAGTAGTTCAACGGACAGTCAGTAGTTCGGCGGACAGTCAGTAGTTCAACGGACAGTCAGTAGTTCGGCGGACAGTCAGTAGTTCAACGGACAGTCAGTAGTTCGGCGGACAGTCAGTAGTTCAACGGACAGTCAGTCGTTCGGCGGACAGTCAGTCGTTCGGCGGACAGTCAGTAGTTCGGCGGACAGTCAGTAGTGAATCACTCTTAACCACAATAACCAAGTTTTGTAGAGAATAAATGAGACAATTTTGATACTTTAACTTTTACAATAAGTTTATTTAATGCATAAAAACTGAATAATCTTACATACGTTTTTGTTTGGTATTTATAGTGTTTGTAACAAATTATTGTTTGATTTCAATTAACATTAAAATAGTTAACAAATTTTAGGAACAAATTTTAATAAAATTTAGACTTTTTTCATAAACAGTATTTTCTATTACTTATCTAATGTCTGAAATTATTTTCAGATTATTATTGAAAAAGTAAAAACATTTACTCTATTTTTTAACCATTAATATTTGAGTAATTTTCTGTTTAGTTAACAAAAACATTAAAATATTTTTGACTTTTAGATTTCCCATTAAAATAGTGCAATTTATTTACGCCCATTTATTCCCATTATTATCAATGAGATCAGTAATTTGGTTTCAAATTACTGAATTTAAACTTTAAGTACAATCGTACTTTTAATTTTTCATAAGTGTTTTATGTTTTCAATGTGTATAATGTTTTCAAATTAAATGGCGATCTCCATTAAAAGTACACTTGTACTTACAGTAGTTATTTAGTTTGTAATCGCCTATAATTACGGCACCTTAATTTCGTATGTAATAAAGGCCTAATGTAATAGTGTTTGTAATGTGTGTTTCTGGTGTGCCGTCGGTTGAATGTGGCCTAAGACCAAGGGAATAGTGTCCAGGTATGTCATACCTTATAACATTATTGTTATCACTGAAGAAGCCATCAATTGTTTGTCTCAATTAAAGCATTTGAGAAAAGCATTCATTTATACCAATCCTAACGAAATGAAAGCCGAGTTATGTCCACAATATGAACAACTATTGGTTAATAATTGTCCGAAACTGACCCACAATTTGTGTCGCATTGAAAATCAGTTAAGGGAGACGTTTGAAGTGCCGGTAATTGATGAGAGCCTTATGGAAGAGATGTTTAATAATGTTTACATCAATGATTTACTTGGAATTTAGTTTTGTTAATACTTAATACGAGTCCTTAATTATCTGTATTTCAAATACTTAATTAGTTTTTCTAATAATTATCTGTGTTTCGCATATCATACTAAACCTGTATAATCAGAGTTTTGATTTAATTACTATTATATAAATAACGAAAATTATAATAAATATTTATTTCCTATACTTTCTTAATATTGGTTACAATTTGGGCACAACTTCTGTATCTGAGACTCAATTCAGTGATTATAACAAGCTTTGTGTTGAATTCATTGTCAAGACTGACATAAATCTTTAGTTATTTATTACAAACAATTACTTTCTATAAACAAATTGTGTATTAATTATTTAATTGCAATTCAAATAAATTACTTAAAACTTTATAAAATAATTGTTAACTAAATCAAAAGTATATATCATTAGTAATGAATCATTACTATTTATTTAATCAATGCATAAATTAGTAATTTAGCATGATCACAATAATTACTAACTTATATTTTAATCTTAGTGCATTTAATTAATTGTTTAATTAATTGCATTAATTAATTAGGGGAGGGAGGGAGAGAGAGAGAGAGGGAGAGAGAGAGAGAGAGAGACTTTCAGTAGTAAATAGCATTAGTAAATATGTCAATCACTGTATCAAACCTTTACGGCTGGTAATAAGTATGCGTCGCGTGATTTGCCAATCAATTCATCGACAGCGTCCACATTGTCCAATACAAAAGGTTTGACCATGATCAATTTGCCCACACGTTTGGACCACTTTTTCCCAATTGCCATTTTGAGCCGAATGGAGAACTTTTCCCTCTTCTCCGCCCTATAAGACAAAAACATACGAAGTCTGGCCAACAAAATGGCAAATATCTCGTCGATATCGGGCGCCACCAGACCTTTACCTACGAGTTCGACCAACTCTTTGGTGACCACTCGTATGCGGGCTTTAGTGTCGGACTCCTTCTTCAAATCGCGTACAATCTTATCCCTAATACTGTCCGGCATTTCGCTGAACAATATATGCATAGTAAAGACCAACAAATCTTCTTCTGAGAGCTGATCCTCGTTGAACCTCTCGTCGGACAAAACATCAATTATTAGCACTTTGTCTGTCATTCCGGTGAGCAACAATTTGCTGCAAGTGATGGCACCGTCTAAATAGCCGACCACATCGTACCCGCCGTTTGGTTCGAGTTGTTTCAACAGTTTGATAAAGTATTGATTCAGCTCTTTGATCGTGGTCATTTTGGACATTTCACGGGTCCAATTGAGCCCCAATACAGGCCGATTAAGCGATTGTGCCAACTGCTCAAACATGGTGAAATTTAACAAAATAGTGGGCATTAAATATACGGGTCGACCGCTAGTCACAGCGTTTAAACGGGTGTGGGATTCGGTGGGAATTACGAATTTTTGTTTTAACAAATTCTTCCTGGCTAGTTTCAAACTGTCCATGTGCTTTTTCATATAACCAAAGTTGCCCACCTCGTAGTCCTTTAACATACCGATGGTTATATGATTGATTTGATTTGACGATATCCTTATATTCCACTCCCTCTCCAAATCATGCTGCAACTCCACGGCGAACATCGACTCGAGCCCTATCTCGCTGAGAGTCAAGTGGTTTGGCGTCACCGCCGGGTCGATACCCAATGCGCGCCACAACTCTGCAATCATACGTGACTTTTTACTGCCCGACTCTTTAGCACTCATATCCACTTTAATCTATGAAATTGTATATATATTTTGAAATTGTTTTAAAATTTTTTATAATTAATATCAAACATACATGAGATGTGACCACCGCTTGTTTGATTGATAAAAGTTTATCCAAAACATCACAACACGAGTTTATTCTCTGCTTTCGTAATGTTATGAATGCCATCAACTGATCCTTCCCTTCAAGCACTCCCACATCACCGATGGGTCCGTATTGTATGGCGAGTCCGTGCAGACCATCCCTACGTCTCTCTTCACATATACGCTCACACATGGAATTTCCGAAAGCATAGTTTGATTGACCGCCGTTTCCTTTACCACAAAGAATGGACGAGAAAATGACAAAATAATCCAATGTATAGTCCAATTGTCGCGTCAGTTGATCCAGATTTGTGAAGATCTTGTGTTTTGTATCAATAGATGAGCAGAATTTTTCAAACGTTAAATTTTCTATCAAACAATCGTTCAATTCAAGCGCCAAATGAAATACTCCTCCAATGGGTCCCAACTTTTTCGCCTCATTTAGCAATTGTATTGTGCCTTCAATTGTGAACCCATTGGCCGTCGAGACAATCCATTGACATTCAAATAGTTTTAATTTTTGGTAAAACATTTTGAATCGATTGAAAACGTATTTCTGATAATCAGTCTTAAGGCCAGACCTGGAAGTGACCACAAATTTTCGTGCGCCCAATGATTGCATCCATGGAATCAATTCCAGACCAAAACCACCCAAACCTCCGGTTATTATATAGACTTTGTTTGGATCGAAGAATGTTTTAATCATTGTCTTCATATTTACGGCCGGTTTTATCGCTTTCAATGGCCGCCTATCCATCTCTTCGTCTCTCATTTTAATGACAATTTTTCCCATATGTTTACCGGTTGTCATATAACGGAACGCTTTGTCCGCATCCTTGGCCTCAAACAGTGTATAATTAATTGGTTTAACGCAACCATTCTTACAGTTATTGTGAACCCAATCGTAGAAATCCGGGAAGAAATCCATTTCATCCATAATAACAATATCCATAACAATACCGATAAATTGAATATTGCGCAAAAAATCAAACATGCCCAATTGTTTGTTTTGAAACATATCGTACCGACCGATCTCCACAAAGCGGCCGCTATTGGCCACACACTCATACGACGCGTCCAACTTCTCGCCCGCCAATGAATTCAACACAATATTCACTCCCTTTCCAGCCGTTAGTTTCAACATTTGATTTTTGAATACAATATTTCTTGAGTTGAATATCTTATTCTCCGGTATATTATATTCATTAATCAAAAACTGTTTCTTCTCTTCCGTCCCAACCGTTGTATAGATATCGCAGTCGTAATGCTTACACATATTGATGGCCGCCTGACCCACACCTCCCGCCGCTGAGTGTATTAATATACTTTCACCTAGGCAATTACAAATAACATTAATGCATTTAAGTATAGTTTCAATAGTTAAATTAATTTTTAACCACAATCTCAATACAACATATCTCTGTATTCAATGTGCTTTCAATAAAATTTTGTTTTTAATTTTGAACCAAATTGTGTCCATTTGCCGCCTTCTCCACACGCTAAACGACCTAGCACTTCACGCATACATTAAGCTTCAATATAATATTATTTGCTAATTATTAAAAGCAATTGAAACGAAATCATATTTGTTTTTAACGTAATAATTATAAATTATAATAGTTGTGCACAATTAATTAGTAATGTAAATATTTTCCCAATTATAAAATTACATTACACATTAATTAGTGTAAAATTGTGTGCTATTAAAACAAACCTTTTTTAAGATTAGCCCGTTTGATGAGCGAATAATACAGAGTGCTATATGTGCTCAATATAGTGGCGGCGTCTGCCATCGACCAGTGCTCGGGAATTGTAGTCATGCTATGAATGCTGGCGTTCAGCGAAGTGGCAAAAGTACGGCCCATATCTATACCCATCACACGTTCCCCGGTATCCACGCGACGGCCCACGTATTCAAAGCCCATCACACAATCAGAGAACAGCTGCTCGCGACCGGCGGGTATGCGACCTATGAAATACACATTTTAATTATCGTATTAATCAGTGTACAAATTAATAAATTAACTTATTATATAAAATATGGCAAAGCATTTCATTACCTGAAGCGACAATAACGTCGTGAAATGAAATGCCGGAACAGTATATTTCAACCCGTGTTTTGGAAATTTCTTTGTTATTAAAATTCCAATATTTTTTAATTTCGGGTAATTTTCGGGAATCATACCATTGAATACCCGCCAAGTCTTTTGTTGTGCCGGAGTTTAGATAATAATCATTTGAAACACATTTATCAAAATCGTTGGGAAGTTTTATGTGTCTATAAGTTCCCAGTTTTCCCCCTTTGAATACATTTGCAACCAAATCGTTGGCCAATATATCAGAATATGGTTTAGTATTGAAGTCAATTTCCGTCTCACTATTGATGTCCATATGGAAGATATACCGGAATATCTCTCCTCCCGGTTCTAATCGCAAACAATTCATTAAACCAATGATTCCGTTAATACACGAGTCCTGAGACACGAGCCATACGTTATCCGTTTTATTGTCCGCCTCTTTAGCGGCGATCAGTTTTGTCTGCAACGCTTCAAACCATTGCTGATAATCACCAGTTATTTTGATAACATTGTGTTTTTCAGGGACTATAGGTTTGTGAATGATTTTTCTAAGCATTAGGCATTGAGTACCAATTGTATCGCTTTTTGATGCGATTAAATTAAATCCAGTTTTAGTGGCAATCGACACAAACTTGCTGATTCTTAAATCTAATTCATTATTACTGGGAATTGAGTTTCCCTTCAAAGACATGAACGCAATCTCCGGTTCCGTAAACTTATAACGAAATACCGATAATAGGAATCCATTGTTGTTTATAGAGTTAAACAAGTCTTGAGTGAATTTATTCAAATCCATTTGCCATAAGTCTTGTGAGTCTCTCATTATAACCAAATGCGAGGGTTTTAATGGTATGTCATCTTTAATTTGCCATTCAGTAGCCCTTTCTATATACAATTCATTTACCGATTGTTTACTTTTAACAATTAGTTTGTAATTGACTTCAAAGGGAATTATACGAAAATTTGTAACAATCTGTTCCACATCTTTAGACATAAAACTGTTACTCATATTAATTTCAGTGATATTTATATCACTATTTGTTACATAATTTTCGCAAACAATTTCCACCAATGCTCGGATCATACGTTCATTCCTTTGGATCTGATTCACCAAATCTTTACTCAAATCGTATTCACTATTTGTTTGAATTTCATTCAAAATTTTTGCCAATTTTTTACCGTTCAGTTTATTACTATTTTGATCGACAACTTCAGCCAATAATTTATCAAATGTGCAAAACATAACATCATTTTCAGTGCTTTTGCTCCGCAATTCTTGCAGCACTTCTTCATTTACTTTTTCGTAATTAAAATTGCATTTCATTTTGTTAACACATAATAGCTTTACTTTGGCTGCCATTAATTTACAAACCTATGATTTAGTCATATCATTAATTATATAAAATTTATATAATTGAAAATTTGATATTACCTCTAAATACTTGGACACAGCGATCGATAGGCACTCATCGATGGCGTGATTATCATCGTTGGCGCAGAACTCGGCCGAATCCAAGACCAACCCAGTAATGTCCGTACGTCGGGATACGGGTAATACGACCACCTCATCGAGTTCAACGCCGGGCGATACCAATTGTTTTGTATCCAAATTGTAATAAAACGGTATTCGAGACGAGTATTTGGCGAAACGTTCGGCGAATCGGATTTCTTCTCTCTCCATAATCGCCGAAACGGTGGTCTGTTCGTCGGTCCAGTCGGAGACTTTGCCGGCGATCACACCATCTATTTTGTAGTTCAATTGAAGGTTGTCGTCGGCGCCGTTGCCCCCACCGGTTGTCACCTCCTTCTGACTCCGGTGACGTTTGATAGCGTCAAACATAAGGCGCGGGTCGAGCCCTAACTTGCGAATCATCACCGGTAACTGCATTTTGCGAAAGGGCACCGATAGGGCGCGCGAATGTAGAATCGCGTCCATATAACTGACAAACTGTCCGTCCCATTCGCACTCACCGTAAAACTCGTTGAAATCATTTGTGCCCACTTTGTCGAGCCGTTGAAACGCCGGCCCGTAGTCTAAGCCCATAATTTTCAACTCTTTGTATATGTCGTGCCTCTTAACCGAGTACTGGCTCTGCGATAGTTTGGACTCATTTTTATAGAGCAGATGCTGTGCTATTAGCACGTCATCGCCCGGCGCACGCATTTTGCCCGACACGCATGCATTTTCGTTCTCGTATATTGCAAACTCACCTAGATTTTAATTATATAAAAAGATAACTAACAATTATAATTAAAAATTAAGTTATACTAAAACTGAACTATATCAAACCTGTTGATGAAAAATATTTAACTGTAAGAATAGTATTTTGGTCCTTGGTCAAAAATACGGCCCTTTTAAATTGAACATTCTCAAATATGACGGGTACGCTGTGCCATAGTTTGCCCAAATCGGCCGCCAGTTTACGCCACGCCAGCATTAAATAGCCGGTTGCGGGGAATATAGGGTTGCCGTCTACGGAGTGGTCCAAATAAAACTCGTCCTCTTTTGTGTTACAATTGATAACAACCCTCATGTCAGCGGCGGTTCCCCGACACCATCGCTCCGGATATATGCGGCGCGGAATGACTGAACTGTGATCCCATTTTATCAACGAGTTAATCGACTGCGTATTCCTGGCCACCGGCCACTCACACCGCGGGTACAGCTTATCCGGCGACAGATTAACGCCCAACTCGTATAGAGTGGCCAAACCGGACAAAAATAAGTCCATATTAGTATTGTTTGAATCTTTTTTAATGAGCGACACATAAGAGGTCTCAGTGAGTGTTTCGGTCACTAGTTTCGCAAACAGTGAATGCGGACCGATCTCTAAGACAATGGCATCGGCCGGGAGTTGTTTGAGTTGGTCATGAAACTGAACAGGGTTGACCAAATTGTGGGCAAAGTACTCGCCCGATGCGTACCGCAGGGCCTGCTCTGTCGGATCGGCGATCATGAGTGAAGTGGACAACCATTTCTTGGAGCGCGGCTTCGGATGCGGTATATGTTTATTGATGGCGTCGATCATTGGTTGGGCAGCGGTTTGAATGTATTTTGAATGATAGGCAATATTACTGCTCTCTAATTGGCGAACAAATATATTTTTCTCTGCCAACACTTTCATTGTTTCTTTCATCTCCTTTTCCAGACCTTTAATGTATGAAATTATATATTATTAAATTAGATTTTTGTGAAATATTTACCGGAAATAACAACACTATCCTTAGCGTTATTACAGGCGATGTAAACACCGTTTGGGCACAACTTCTGGGCCTCAAACTTGGGTAACCCCACGACAGCCATCAGCCCTTTGGGTAGAGTTTTGTTACCTTCTGTAAATGTTCCTCGGAATGATATGACGACCATTGCTTCCCTTGTGTTGAGACACCCGTCAGCGTAAGCACAGGCTATCTCTCCAAACGAGTGGCCAATTATACCGTCGGGTGTGATGTCCAGCGCTTTCATCACTTCAAACAATGCTATCTCTATAGCAGTCGTCGAACAGAA